CTGTGTATGTTCGTTTTTTATATAACGCAGTCAAATGTATCTAATACAACAGTATGACAGTTCCGATCAAGAAAACGACCCAGTGGGTATGGAATCGTCCTAGGGTACGTTTCTGTATGCTGATTCTGGCTAGGGTACGTTATACAGAAACGTACCTGGGGTACACATCTGTAGGGCCTGTGCCGACAACGACCCCTTCAGCCCCACTAACTGTGACAAGAAACACGTTTAAAACTTTACAGCTCGTAATCACTTACTTCATTGTTTAATAAATGTCATAATGTCAAGCGGTTGGGCGGCCTGGTGGTTTAGACGCTAGCTCCTCATGTCGAAATGACCTGGGTTTGATTATCTGCATGGGCGCAGATTGTAATGCCAATTCAAGTTAATGTCCTCCACTGTATGACTGCCGTACCATCAGCGAAAACGTGTTGCCGCCATATAGCTGGAATATTGCAAGCTAAACTCACTCACTCATTCACTTAAAAAACGTCACTCATCCACCCGTTTTACTTTTTCCACCACCCGTTTTACTTTTTCCTTCGAAAGATGTATTTTTCAGTGATTTCAAATAGAATTATAGACTGGATGGATAGCTAGAAATTGGATAACATGAAATAACTGTTTCTTGTGTTATTAAAGATAGATAGATATATAGTAACGAGCAGAAAAAATGCGACTTTTCACAGACGTAGTTTCACAATTTATTTACTGATAAATTCAGTTATATTTTTCATACATCCACTCTGGATACTGAAGTTTACGTTTATGCAAGTCAATAGTCTGTTAGTCCACCGTTTCTCTCGATGCACTGCTGAATACGGCGTCCCATGCTGTCAATCAAATTGTCTATGTAGTCCTGGGGTAGGTCCACCCATTTTTGACTGATGAGATTGGACCACTCAACGACACTCTTCGGTTCCAACTTTTCTAATTTGTCCTTCATAATCTGCCACACATTTTCAATTGGGTTCAGGTCTGGTGATGCCGCTGAAAATTTCTGTAAGGTCACGTGACTCGTTTCAAACCAGTTACAGGTGTGCCTTGACTTGTGTACAGGTGTAATGTCCTGTAAAAGTTTGAAAGGTATTCCACTCTGTCCTTTATGGGATTCGACCATGCCTTCTTGTATAAGTTGACAGTACTTGCGTGAATCCATCCTTCCTGTAATAGTTATATAGCAGCGGCGTTACCCCGAGTTTGCCTATACCACCCCAAACCATGACACTGGGTCAGAACTTCGGAACCATTTTGCAGCTACGTCCACCTCCTGACCACCTCTTTCTTGTGATCCTATAAAACTGAAACTTTGATTCGTCCGTAAAAATCACATTTGAATAGTCTGTACCCTGCATTTCCCTGCACCACTCGAGCCTTTTCTCCATATGTGCTGTTGTCCTCAATGGAACTTTCTTCGGCACTCGCTTGACATATCCAGATTTCTTTAAAGATCTTCTGATTGTCCATTCTGATACCTTAGGGGTTCCTTGACTTGACGCCTTCACAGCAAGCTGTTTTGCAGACCAGTTTGGGTACGCCGCCGCGAGACGCGCGATACGTCGTCTGTCAATTGCCCCAAGAGTAGCACGACGTCCCGATCCAGCCTGTCGCTCTGTCCCTTACCCTGCGTCAAATTTCTTTAAATTTCGGTAAACAGAGGTCCGATGCAATCCCGTCAGTTTCACAAGTCTGGTTACGGATGTAATACCTGCTTCATAATATGCCAAGAGTCGATTTCTGTTGTTTTGTAACGTCAAGGCAAAGCTTCGGTATCGTCTGCTAGCAACGAGGTCACGTGATCAAGCAATCCCTGAACCCAAGGGAGATAATTCCATACCAACAAGGCAAGCTACTGGCGGCTAGAAACAATGTATTTCGGCTTTTTTGATAGTAGGATCGAGTCTACAGAACAAAGATTTTTGTCGCATTTTTTCTGCTCGTTACTATATATATATAGGTACAGCTAGGCATCGAGTGCCTTAGACTTACATAAACCGCCAGTACCATAGTGATATGAGCCATACGTCGAAGCCTTAAACCGAGACCCACATTGTCATTCTTGGAACTTTATTCATCTAGAAATATATAGTATAGCACCAACTCAAACTTCTTACAAACCCTATCCTTTAGGGTAACAGAGTGACGTTAAGTTGATGTTGCAGCAAATTCGCTTGGAGGATACCACAGACGATCTTCAATATATTTTTCCAAATTTGCGGATTCAATTTCGTGTTTGAGCATGGACGGTTACCCCCAATAATAATACACACACACACACACACACACCCCACCCACACACCCTTAACACAACGATGTTCAGAAAACAATCTAGTATCTCTTTATAGAGAACAACAGAGTATGAAAATTTGTCTATTTCCCTTCCCAGATAATACCATGACCCGTTCCACGTAATCTAGTCCCTGAACCTCATTATTTTCCCCTCCGTCCAGCCATTTCTTACACACCCGTGGGTGAGAAACCCATGTGAGAAAACTGGTATCACACATATGTGTGAGATCGATTTCTAATCCCGTGATTGGCTACTCCATGGTGATGACCTAAGGTCAGGGTATGAGGGACTACTTTCCTGATTAAAATTCATTGATAAGTTACTCGTGCTTCAATCGAACAGAAACCTGTTACTCGTGCAAAAAATACCCCTTTACACCTACCTGTTATTTTCGCGATAGCAACATAAACAGGTATTTATACAATGAGTCACAAGTAGAATAAATATAACACAAATCTATTTATTTTCGAATTCCTTTTATTAAAACTTTTGATTTCTAGTCATGAATTCAAAATGGCTCCAACAACCTGTGATACCTGTGTAAACAATTATGTGAAAATCACCGTTAGACATAAAGCCCTTGATTCCCTTCGAATATTCAAAATGTACAACACTGGTACTTTTACTGGAGAGATGCGACAAGTGTCATGTGTCGTCTTGCAAAAATACCTGACACGATAACGTCAGTGCCTGTCGAGAGATCAATTTACCTTGTTGTTTCTTTGATGCATTGATGAAGATGACATTTTTCACTGATACATATGATGGAGACTCACTTCCAGCTCCGAGATACTATGTGATTCTAATGTTATCAAATTCACTCATGACAATCTGAACCAAAACACACTCGTTGAAACAATGTACAACATGGTACGTTTTGCAAGGCTTCATGAGTGCAAATGGCGGCACACGTCAGTTCTGTTCAATCGAACATGTACAGGAACGGTTGATCTACACATAAGTCATTGCTCAAGATATTCCTCTGACACATGATAATGAAAAGTTTATGTCTTGATAACTTACAGGATGTAATCAACTCACATTTCATACTGAAAACTCCGTAAACTCCATTACATTCCAAGTGGCAGTTTCTGGCTCGGGAAAACGAGAAGGATGTTGCGAAGAAGAGTAGTCCCCCATTGACAGTGAACGTAACCTCAGCAATGTCACATTCAAGCACACTGGGTGCACCTAATTACACACACTCAAAACCTTTGGCCCCGGTCGATGGTAGAACATTGAGCGTAAACTGGTACACAAGTACAGATCCCCAATGTGCAGAGATATCCAAAACAATCTTCCGATGACGACGACAACCACCAAGCGATAACGATGACGTCACACGCTCAAATATTTACGCTTGTAAGAATTAAAATCATCCACATTTGCATGGTAACGTCATCGTTTTAGAGGGTTTAATTAATTTTCAGTGATCTTATCTAGTTATCATTATCACCATTGCCTTGATGATGCGAAGAGGTTGCAGAAACTTTTTTGTGGAGGGTCACCATGGGGATGAGTAGTGATTAGGAAGCCAAGTGACGTCACTCATTCATAAACGTTGTGTTGTGTATTATTGCGCTCCTACGATTAGAAAACATGAAATTTGAATCTATTCGACCATAAAATGATACGATTTATGGTGTAAGAAACAGATTACTGTACTCGTGTCTGTCAGATACCATTTATCTTTACAACTCGTTGTTTCGAAACTTATTTAACTCGCTTTCGCTCGTTAAATACGTTTTGAAACAACTCGTTGTAAGATAAATGGTATCTGACAGACACTCGTTTAGTAATCTCTATTTCTCCAATGCTTAGCTCAACGTGAAGTAAGTCTAGATTTCCTAAGGTTCTGAATCTCTCAACTCATTCGGGCTCTTTTTTCGATTGAAATGGATTTGTTTCTGTCAAAATTATGTATATCCAGAGACTAACCATTAGTCTACGTTCCACGAAGTGACTCTAGCGTCAGGTTGATCGTAACTCCAGATAATAAAATAGGCTTGCTGTAGCACTAAGATCGCTTTGTGAAACGGGGCCCTGGTTATCTGAGGTCGGCAACCTCTACTTGAATTACGGGCAGCGTCAACGTTCAGGATTATAGACGCAACGTACAATACGTACTGAATACGCACAATCCATGAGGGCCTGAACCTTTCAATCACGCGGATTAACGAAAAGTGAAATTGCTATTTCGAGATCCTTTCTTTACAAAGACTTGGTCCTTCAGAGAACCTTGGTGTTGTCGGGGCCAAAGGGACAATGCCTCCCCCCGGCTTTTAGTTGTGGACTACTGTATAATTATTACCCCCGCCGTCACTTCCCATCCCCCACCCCTATATACACAGCCTGACTCCCAACACAGCGGTAGAATGTTAGACACTGGGTACACACCGATAAGCCGTGGTAGAGAGTGATACGGGCTTATTGTATCGATAATATTAGATATTGATTGATTCATTCATTCATGATTGATTCGCTGGTCAGAGGCTTGTTGATAAGAACATGGGGCCTGAGGGAACACGATATGAAGAAAACGCACCACAGATCAGGAACACTAGAAGACTGTACTGATCCTAACTGATGGTTGTGTAACAAACGCTATTCCTCGGAACTTCTGCTGCGTTTTCTGTCTGTAACACCCGTTGACGAAAGAGAAACGAAAGAGGTGAGAGACTCATCGCATCTGTGAAACGCAGTGGTTAATGTTCAATATCTTAACCACTGTAACGAATATTTTTATTCTCTGACAACGCCAAACAAACTGACTTGAAGGTACATTTGTACTGAGAATATTTTGTGACGATATTTTCTTACATGTTTGTGACAAATAGGACTTGGATATTGAAAAGACTATTATTCTGACCATGCACCGCCTTCATGTACAACCTTTCTCTGACCACTGCCTCCTGCACTACTTTTCTCTCATTACTCTGACCAGTGCCTCCTGCACTACTTTTCTCTCATTACTCTGACCCGTGCCACCTGTACCACCTTTCTCTCATTACTCTGACCCGTGCCACCTGCACCACTTTTCTCTCATTACTCTGACCCGTGACACCTGTACCACTTTTCTCTCATTACTCTGACCCGTGACACCTGCACTACTTTTCTCTCATTACTCTGACCACAGCCACCTGCACTACTTTCTCTCATTACTCTGACCCGTGACACCTGAACTACTTTTCTCTCATTACTCTGACCACAGCCACCCGTACCACTTTTCTCTCATTACTCTGACCACAGCCACCTGCACTACTTTTCTCTCATTACTCTGACCACAGCCACCTGTACTACTTTCCTCTCATTACTCTGACCCGTGACACCTGTACTACTTTTCTCTCATTACTCTGACCACAGCCACCCGTACCACTTTTCTCTCATTACTCTGACCACAGCCACCTGCACTACTTTTCTCTCATTACTCTGACCCGTGACACCTGTACTACTTTTCTCTCATTACTCTGACCCGTGACACCTGTACTACTTTCCTCTCATTACTCTGACCCGTGACACCTGAACTACTTTTCTCTCATTACCTGACCACAGCCACCCGTACCACTTTCTCTCTCATTACATGACCACAGCCACCTGCACTCTTTTCTCTCTCATTACTCTGACCCGTGACACCTGTACCACTTTCCTCTCATTACTCTGACCCGTGACACCTGTACTACTTTTCTCTCATTACTCTGACCCGTGACACCTGAACTACTTTTCTCTCATTACTCTGACCCGTGACACCTGAACTACTTTTCTCTCATTACTCTGACCACAGCCACCCGTACCACTTTTCTCTCATTACTCTGACCACAGCCACCTGTACCACTTTTCTCTCATTACTCTGACCACTGCCCCCTGCACTACTTTTCTCTCATTACTCTGACCACACCCACCCGTACCACTTTTCTCTCATTACTCTGACCACAGCCACCCGTACCACTTTTCTCTCATTACTCTGACCACAGCCACCCGTACCACTTTTCTCTCATTACTCTGACCACAGCCACCTGTACCACTTTTCTCTCATTATTCTGACCACTGCCCCCTGCACTACTTTTCTCTCATTACTCTGACCACACCCACCCGTACCACTTTTCTCTCATTACTCTGACCACAGCCACCTGTACCACTTTTCTCTCATTACTCTGACCACTGCCCCCTGCACTACTTTTCTCTCATTACTCTGACCACAGCCACCTGCACTACTTTCTCTCATTACTCTGACCACAGCCACCTGCACTACTTTTCTCTCATTAGTCTGACCCGTGACACCTGTACTACTTTCCTCTCATTACTCTGACCACAGCCACCTGCACTACTTTTCTCTCATTAGTCTGACCCGTGACACCTGTACTACTTTCCTCTCATTACTCTGACCCGTGACACCTGCACTACTTTCCTCTCATTACTCTGACCCGTGACACCTGTACTACTTTTCTCTCATTACTCTGACCCGTGACACCTGAACTACTTTTCTCTCATTACTCTGACCCGTGACACCTGTACTACCTTTCTCTCATTACTCTGACCACAGCCACCTGTACCACTTTTCTCTCATTACTCTGACCACAGCCACCTGCACTACTTTTCTCTCATTACTCTGACCACAGCCACCTGCACTACTTTTCTCTCATTACTCTGACCCGTGACACCTGAACTACTTTTCTCTCATTACTCTGACCCGTGACAGCTGTACTACTTTTCTCTCATTACTCTGACCACAGCCACCTGTACCACTTTTCTCTCATTACTCTGACCACAGCCACCTGCACTACTTTTCTCTCATTACCCTGACCCGTGACACCTGAACTACTTTTCTCTCATTACTCTGACCCGTGACACCTGAACTACTTTTCTCTCATTACTCTGACCACAGCCACCTGTACCACTTTTCTCTCATTACTCTGACCCGTGACACCTGTACTACTTTCCTCTCATTACTCTGACCCGTGACACCTGTACTACTTTTCTCTCATTACTCTGACCCGTGACACCTGAACTACTTTTCTCTCATTACTCTGACCCGTGACACCTGTACTACTTTTCTCTCTGACCTGTGCCACCTTACTCTGACCACAGCCACCTGCACTACTTTTCTCTCATTACTCTGACCCGTGACACCTGAACTACTTTTCTCTCATTACTCTGACCACAGCCACCCGTACCACTTTTCTCTCATTACTCTGACCACAGCCACCTGCACTACTTTTCTCTCATTACTCTGACCCGTGACACCTGAACTACTTTTCTCTCATTACTCTGACCCGTGACACCTGTACTACTTTTCTCTCATTACTCTGACCCGTGACACCTGAACTACTTTTCTCTCATTACTCTGACCCCTGACACCTGAACTACTTTTCTCTCATAACTCTGACCCGTGACACCTGTACTACTCTTCTCTCATTAGTCTGACCCGTGACACCTGAACTACTTTTCTCTCATTACTCTGACCCGTGACACCCGTACTACTTTTCTCTCATTACCCTGACCCGTGACACCTGAACTACCTTTCTCTCATTACTCTGACCACAGCCACCTGCACTACTTTTCTCTCATTACTCTGACCCGTGACACCTGTACCACTCTTCTCTCATTGTTCTGACCACAGCCACCTGCACTACTTTTCTCTCATTACTCTGACCCGTGACACCTGTACCACTCTTCTCTCATTATTCTGACCACTGCCCCCTGCACTACTTTTCTCTCATTATTCTGACCTGTGCCACCTGTACCACTCTTCTCACATTATTCTGACCACAGCCACCTGCACTACTTTTCTCTCATTACTCTGACCTGTGACACCTGTACTACTCTTCTCTCATTATTCTGACCACTGCCCCCTGCACTACTTTTCTCTCATTATTCTGACCACTGCCACCTGTACTACTCTTCTCTCTCTATTCTGACCATTGCCCCCTGCACTACTTTTCTCTCATTTTTCTGACAACTGCCACCTGTACTACTCTTCTCTCATTATTCTGACCACTGCCCCCTGCACTACTTTTCTCTCATTATTCTGACCACTGCCCCCTGCACTACTTTTCTCTCATTATTCTGACCACTGCCTCCTGCACTTATTTCTCTCATTACCCTGACCACTGTTAATTATAAGGAGTCTAAGGACGTCACTGAGAAACAGTAATGCGCATGTTTTGCAGAACAGAAAAGGTCTTTAATTTCCTTCATGCCACCATACCCTTATGCGCAGCCCACAGCTGATACAGCCAGTCTGGCAACGAATCGCCATGTAAAGGCGGGTACCAATTCTGGGACGGATACAGATTTTCGAGAAAGGGGGGGTGCACACTATTGAGAAATGGGGGGTGCACACTTCATTTTCACCCCAGTTTCAATGGTCATTTAACAAACTTTCAGCACAAAAGGAGGGGTGTGCACGCTGGTGCATTAAAGAATATATTCAGAAATATATGAGTGAGTGAGTTTAGTTTTTGCTTTGTGCCTAACATTAATCACGGGAATGTATCACATTTGGCATCTTAGAAAAACATTGTGGGAGTGAGTAGGGTTTTTACACCGATTTTAGCAATATGCCAGCAACATTCCAACAATATTCCAGCAATATTCCAGCAATATCACGGCGGGGGACACCAGAAATCGGTTTCACACATTGTACCCATGTAGGGAATTGAACCCGGGTCTTCGAGCGAACGCTTTAACCACTAGGCTACCCCACCGCCCCAGAAACATATGACGATAACTGAGGGCATTTAATGAGGTTAAGGGTAGACAAATGTGTAATCCAAGTACATCTCGCTCGTTCAAGCGACCCTTTGTTTGTGTACTAACACAAATTGATTATTCAAAACAACACCCATTTTTTCATTATTATGATTTATCTATCATGTTATCACACAGTAAATATAGCCATATAAAAGACCCGGATGTTCTTTAATTTCATTTGAATAGTTTACATAAAGCTAGATCTCAAGGATTAATTATACAAAGACAAGTTGTGCTAATCATGCACTAATTAGAAAGTGACGAGCTACCCTGGATATGGGCTCCAAGCCGTGGTATTCCCTTCGAACCCAATCAAATCAGGATTCGCTATGATTTCATACTTATATAAATTGTCAAATTTCCCTTAGTATCAACAAAACATGCAGTTATACTAGGAACATGTAATGAATGTTGCATTCAGTCCGTACTCTCGTGCCAGTAATCTTTATAGGTCTGCATTCACTTTGGTCATTTATTGTGCCGTTGTGCAAAGCGAGTTAAAGTGATTGTAACCCCCATACCTCAACATAGCTATACGATAGTCGTAGCGCTGAGGTAATTTCGTACAACGCGACCGTAACGCCCATACCTTAACATAGACTTAAGGTAGTCTTAGCGCTAAGACCGCTTTGTACAACGGTCCATAGCGTACTCTCTCGTCTCGTTATCTTTGGAAAGCAGCAGAAATGAACTACTAAATATCAAATTAACAATAAAGTGTAATCAGTTGCAGCAATGATGATGTCGACGCTAGTTCCAGGAGTGGGCCAGGTGGGAAGATAAACCGGAATTCGGAGACTGGCGAGTACGTTATAAACAGCTTTCAGTATGGCGTCCAGAAGCGACACAGGGGTATCTGAAGTTTCCGGGGAGAATCTGGACCTTGCCCAATATCATTACGAGGGTTTGACCACCAGGTGGTGGAAGTAGAGGATATTGGGTCGGAGGCCTCCAAGAGCGATGGAGCTGGGATACTGGCAAGCGGAACCGGAAGTCCCGACGAGCTGTTGCTTCTGGAGAGCGATTGCACAATCCCTTCCCGCGAAGACAGCGATCTTAGTGTGGAGAGTCGGAAAGGACGAAGTGGGGCCGGGTCGCATGTCGGTAGTGACCACCAAGAGGCTCTCGAGGTGTCTCCGCTTGAAGACCATGCAGGTTCACACGCTAACGATCGGACAGGAAAACGCGACTCGCGCAGTAGCAGGCAGTCCACTTCTTCTGAGCTGCGTCTTCACATTGCCCGGATGCAGAGTGCAGACGAGGGAAAAAAGACGGCAGCGAAGAAAAAGAGATAAAGAGGTGGCACTTCTTCGTCGGAAAATGGAAGACGACAGGAGGCGAAAGGGATTTGAGCTTGTGCCGGGGTCCCGTGAAAGGCGCGGTGTGATACGGGCGTTCCTGACAGAGGAAGAGAAAATGGCGATGGAGAGTCAACAGAAAGATCTAGCTCGAGAGTCAGAGGAAATGATTTCAAAAATAAAATCAAAACATGGAATTCCGAAGGACAAAGATTCGTCTCCTAAAGTGGTAGACATGGCCAGGGAGTTCTACAGCAGTAAAGAGCTGCCAAACGAGCTGTTGCCTGACCACATACGGCTGAATCTCACCACCGAGGAAATCAGGGACCTGAAGCTGGTGTTTGACATGTTCGACGTCAAAGGAAGAGGGTGAGGAAAAACAACCCAAATCATGTATTGTTACTTTTATCAGACTGAAACATGAATACTAGAAGAGTAGGGGGGTATTTACAAGTGATGCACATAAAGGCGAGCATTTATGGAGCATTCAATTACATTTGTGACGTCATTCCATTGTCTGCTCGCTCCATTACCTTTCAGGAATGGAACGATGTGTACCAGTTTCAAGTTTAAGACTTCATTTTGTCATTTTGACATTTAATTTTGATAACAGAAATATTACCAATACTTTGAATGTAATTTATGTAGGGTAATATCCTCGTAACTCTCCATTCCTTAAAAATAATGGAGCCGAGGCCCCGGTGGAATGGAGAGTTACTCGGACATTACCTTCTACAGAATGTACTCCGAAACGTCCTGTTCCTCAAATAAGAAGATGGCATCCATAACTTCTTGCCTTTAGGAGAGGGGTAACAAAAATGTTTAAAAACATCTAAGTTATATAAAACATATGAGTTCAAGATGCCAAGAAAACTGGTTAATATTTTATAACAAGTATTTTCGTGAATCATATTGTTCCGATATTTGGACCAGGCGCTACCTGAATATTCCGAATCCCTGGTTGTCTGTGTAACTGTGACGGCATGACTGTATAGAGGGACAGGAAATTTCAGGAAAGTAATTTTGCTGATTATTAAGAAGATGCATCGGAAGATGTTCGAAGTCACCTTTGTTTCTGTTTCAGTCACAGTAGGACTATCTAGTACTGGGATGTCTTTATCATGTCAATGCTAGAGAATAACCAATCTCGATCCAAAGCCGAAATATGAGAATAAATTCCAGTTACAAGTATATATAAAGGATCACTAAAATTCAGTAATAACACTAGGTGTTTGCAAAAATTGTTGAATTGCCCTGGCGTACCGACAGCACTCGCTACTTACACAATCTGTATGAAAACCACAACTGTTTGTTGCCCGAGTTTACACATCAGTACTCCTGCCAAAGCGACGAAGGTCTTTAACTAACCAGATAACAAACATGTGATGTTGACTTTGACGTGGTTGTTGCAGCTTCATCATCTCCTACGACCTCAAGAAAGCAGCTGGGATGCTTGGTTTCACAGCTAAGAAACATGTCTTTAAGGAAATGATAGGTAAGGTGTGATTGGTTGGTTTGTTGTTTCATGCTCTAATGCTGCACTTAGCAATATTCCAGCTAGGACAGCGGTCTGTAAATAATCGAGTCTTGACCAGACAATCCAGTCATCAACAGCATGAGCATCGATCTACGCAACTGGGATACGATGACATGTGTTAACCAAGTCAGCGAACCTGACCAACCGATCCCGTTAGTCGGCTCTTACGACAAGCATGGGTTACTGAAGATCAGTTCTAACACGGATCTTGGTGTTGACTTGGTGTTGTCCGGCTTCAGGCCAATGCTCTAGTTTATACCAGTAATATTGCAAGTGCTTTTGTACGGGAATGTGGAGAGGTTTGGGGATGGAGATCTCGAATAGTCGGTGTAGGTATAAATGGATCTGAAATGTTGATATGATATTAACGTTGGCTGGGATCGGTGCGTTGGGACCATGCATTTGTAATTCTAATGTTTCTCCTTGTGGTTGGGGGTGGTGGGGTAGCCTAGTGGTTAAAGCGCTCGCTCGTCACGCCGAAGACCCGGGTTCGATTCCCTACATGGGTACAATGTGTGAAGCCCATTTCTGGTGTCCCACGCCGTGATATTGCTGGAATATGCCAAAAGCGGCGTAAAACCATACTCACTCACTCACTCACTCCTTGTGGTTGGTTAATAACTAAAATTGAAAGTCAACTGCATGCTTACTATAAAACCAAGCGTTATTCATTCCTATTTTCAGACGAGCTTTCCTCAGATCACAAAGGGAAGGTCACCTTTATCAACTTCTTGGAGTTTATCATCAAGTCCCAGGGCGAGGGACCAGATCCATACGAGGAGATCATACAGGTTTGTAGCGTACGGTCTGCACACTCATCCAGGAGATCATAGGGACATGTAGAAGTTTAAGCATTCAATCGTTTACACCCACCAAGGAGGTCGTACCGTATTGTGGCATTGTACATGCATGCTGAGGAGATCATACATGTTGAGGTTGACACGTGATCGTTTACACACATCAAGGTGATCGTGCGTCATTGTTTGCACCCAGACTGTACATGCCGAGGAGATCGTACGTGTTGAAGCGTCCAGACGTTTACACACATCAACACGTAGCCTTCAGTCTTTACACACGTCCAGGGCCTAGATTTTCGAAGCTCTCTTAGCGCTAAGATAGTCGTAAGTTAATGTTAATGTATGTCATTTACGACTGTCTTAGCGCTAAGACAGCTTCGAAAATCTAGGCCCAGGACACCATACACGTTCGTTGTATTCAGTCTGTGCTCGCGCCACGGGGGATCTTTTACGTCCGCATCATTCACCTTGTACACTCGTTCAGGAGATCATTCATGATGCGGTTGTACAAAGCGATCTTGGTGCTAAAGTGATCGTGGTGAGTGAGTTTAGTTTTACGTCGTTTTGGCAATATTCCAGCAATATCACGGCGAACTAAAGTGATCGTAACTCCAATATCTTAACATAGAACAATATTTTAAATTTGTGTATTTATCTAATAGTAAGCATTCACACTGTTTTGCAGAACAATATTTTCAAGAGAACAAAGCATGACAGTTTGACCAAAGCTCATTGAAGTAATCTCTATCAAACTTAACGTATACAGGCATACTTTGTTAACGTGTAAATTTCGGTGACCTCCTTTTGTATGAATTGGAATGATAGTTATTAGTTCTAAAGTTGAAAACGTATCATTTTGACAAGATAATGACAAGGGCTAAAGCATTGTTATTTTTCGATAAATTGTGAAACACAAAATTTTCCTTGGATATTGTTCTTTAAGTTCTTGTTCTTTAATATCGTGCCCAAGGTCGTACTTCCATTTAGCGAAACTCTGTTAATGAACATTTTATAGAAATACTGTGAACCTTCATTTTGTTTGTTCAGATGACATATGTGCAATGGTAAAATGGGAAATTGTAGGATAGTGTTTAATTTTGGCAATCGTTGGCGTCGGAAGAACTATTTAGCAGCGTGAACAACACATATGTGTAAGGTAGAAAATTGGTTTTCAAGTTAAAAACGGTTTTAAGGTTTCGAGTGGCACTAAAGTTGTTACGTACAACGGTGCCCTTGGCTAGCAATTCTCGAAACGTTCGTAGCCTTACGAACTTCTTAAGCCCATTCTTAACACATTGGCTACGATCAAAGTTAAGAATTCTTAGGGCTACGAACGTTTCTTGAATAAGGGCCCAGTCCATAACGTTTGCTGTGTACACTCGTCTCGTCATCTGTCTACATTGACAGATATACGATTGATGTCATAGCATGCATACATAAACAGGAATGGTAAAGGATGGTTACCTTCAGAAGGGAACTACTGGGACCTCAGTCCACATTTAGCATTCGTAGCATCACGTCATTTGTAAGCCAATGATGTAGTATAGAGATACGATAAGCCGTTACGTTACGGACGTTTTGAGGATCAGGGCCCGTTCCTCAATGCGATCGTAGCGCTACGACAGTCGTAAGTCTATGTTAAAGTATGGGAGTTACGATCATCTTAGCGCTACGATGGCTGTTATCTCATGATTTCAAAGTTTACTGATAGATTACTACGGATTGAAGTCTTTCTGATGATAGTGAACGTTGGCTGATGACTGACCAATGTGAACAAGGCCCACTTGCATAAACTATCAAAGCACAAAGAACATCACAATGCTCATGCTCTCATATATACAATGGTCTTACAGCTAAAATCACTTTGTGCAAATGGACCCGGCTGATAAAAACTGACTAAAAAGCGATGTTCAAAATATTGTTTCTGTGCCTATGATCGGATAACCACAGTGTGGCTGAAATGCTGCCGACATGACTTTCTCACTCCATTGAGTGACTTTAGCTTTACGCCGCTTTTAGCAATATTACAGCAATATCATGGTGGGGGTCACCAGAATGGGATTCATACATTGTACCCATGTGGGGAATTTAACCCGGGTGTTCGGCGTGACGAGCGAACGCTATAACCACTAGGATATCCCACCGCCCTTTTCTCACTCTACAGTCTGGAAGTCTGTTAGATGCCTGAAATTACATGCCCCATTGTAATGTTAGATGGGTAAATATCTGACTTCAGTGTTTCCGTCTCCTGGATGTGGCTGGGAAAGGTTTCCTGACGTTCACCGACTTGCGGGAGGCGTCTGACCACGCCCAGGTGCGCTTGTCCAACAAGGCGCTGCGGGAGATGCTGCAGGAGGCCGACGTCACCGGGGACGGTAGGATCACCAGTGACGAGTTCGTCCACATCATGCTGCAGACAAACACCTTCAGGCTGACCAACAAAGGCAGGACAAGGCTAAAGTGATACAGTAAAGATTGACCAACACTCAAAAGTGACTCATATGATGCTCGTGATGCGTGTGATTTCCAGACTGTCCTGTACAAAGAGGTTGCCGGCTCTTACACTGTGTCGAGTTGGTTTACCCTATGAGTGCAAGAAACCTATGATTTTGACATCGAATCTCAGTTCGCTCTGATTATGTTTCTAGACCCGTGAAGATCCGGGTTTAGAATTGGTCTTCAGCAACACATTCTTGCCGTAGGAGGCGACTAACGGGATTTGGTGGTCAGGCTCGCTCACTTGGTTGACACATGTTATCGTATGCCATTTAGATGCTCATGCGGTTGATGCTTGATCCAATTCCGAGGCGCCTCCTAGTGGGCTAACCTGAGACAATTCTGAGCCGCCTCCTATTGGGCTAAAGCCGAGGCTTTAATTTGTACAACTGACGTTTTGTTTGTCACTTTTACGTCAGTATGTGAGTGTCGAAACTTCTGGCCTCTCTCGGTAGCAGAGTCAAGTTCAGACTGATGCACTGAAAACGGAACCTGGCATTTTACGAGCGCATCATGCTGCTTCACAATCATCAATCTTAACTTTAATATGATATTTTTGCAGGATCATATTTCCATTGTTTTTCTTCTGAATTACAACAATACATAAATTTTCCAGCTACTGTTTTATGTATTTTAGTACAGATAATGCTTACTGATGAGCTATGTTACATATGTTGACAATAGCAAGGAATTTAATATTATATTTATGTTATGTAATTGTAATTTTGGTCCGATCTGTATGTAAAGAAAAATATGAATAGACACAAATTTATTCTTTAGTAAACAAACTATATTTAAAATTCGGTTTTTTTATTCTTTAAGTGCAAGGCTATTTAATGTTACTACCGCTTCTAAACCGTCCCTGAACGATAATATGCTAAAGTTGATACGATGTACGTGCATAATTAAATATCAAGTATTCAGATACACACACTCTAGAAACTTGGTAACTGTGCTTCATATGAAGTGACGTAAATGTTATGTTGCTGAAAATAACAATATAGTACTGGTAATTCGTCTGATCAGTGGTTTATCTCAACAAATTCATTGGCGAAATTCCCATCTGTAAACTATCGTTTCCTTTGCGGCGATTTAGGGTAGTTGAATCATACGTCAGTCACAGCAAACTCACGCTAACCGGATTTTTCCGCTATCTTTCAATGGGCTTCCGTTTTTGCCTTCGGTTGGTAGCTCAGGATGGTAGACAACGGAAGTGGGTGAGGGAGTTTAGTTTTACGCCGATTTTAGCAATATTTTAGCAATACGACAGGGGAAACCACAAATGGGCTTCACATATTGTACCCATGTGGGGTACCCAGGGCTTCGAACGCTTTAACCACTAGGCTACCCCCATCACGCCGAACTAAAGAATACCATGGTGACTCTGTACAAAGAAATCTAAGCGCTAAGGTGACCGTAACTCACGCTCCTTAACATAGACTTAGTCATAGCGCTACGGTTGTACAGTGAAGACGACAGCCGTCACGTGCGGATACGCGCTTTGTCTCTTACACAAATGCAGAAGTCGGACGGCTATTCTTTACCGTCGACATAGTCATTCGTGAGGCCAAGAGTAGCTGCACAATTCGTCCGCTTTTGTCAATGATCTAGACTCGTCTTCCTGACTAATCCTGTCAGTCAGGTTTTATAGAATGAGATATTGCGCAATGGGGTGCAAGGCCACTGACTAGTCTGTCTCACAGTCCCTGAGCCACATTATTTTCCCTACTGCCTAGCCCTCTCTGCAGTGCTAAAGCCCGAAATAAAGCAAGTCTTGATTTCCTCAGGTTCATGAATCTCTGCTCCCACTGAGACTAAAGAGATAGAATTTGGGTACACTTTGGACATATATTGAAACAATTAGGTCGTTTGAATAAATGAAGTCTTAAAGAAATATATTGAAATTCTTTGCACTATAACACATGTATAGCAGGGAATGTGTTGTTGCAGAATGAATGTCCAACACACCTGCGGTTGTGAAACATGTTTGTTCATGTATGACTGTTAACTACCATAGTGTGTGGTGTTTGTGCACCCTAAAGTACACAATAACACACAAGGAGAATAAATTTGGTTACTTTCTGGGGTATATATAGATAAAAAGAACCAACAAATCTGTCATGCGAGTCCAAATAAGCATGTCACATAAATCATTCATTTACTTATGTTAGGGTTGATTATAGTCATAAGAATGCTAAGCTATATATATGTATAAATCATTCATTTACTTATGTTAGGGTTGATTATAGTCATAAGAATGCTAAGCTATATATATGTGTGTGTACGTGCGTGTCCTCTGTGTGTGTGTGTGTGTGTGTGTGTGTGTGTGTGTGTGTGTGTGTGTGTGTGTGTGTGTGTGTGGATGGTAATCAACAGATAAACATAATACCCTATCCATGCATACAAAGTAGACCAAACATACGTATGATCTCAAGGTGTAGGTTATTTCTCTCACGACTACATGCCCAGAGCTTAATCACTGCATCATCATAATGCCTACAGAGACGGAAATGTTCTTAATCTGGAAGTTCACAATAAGACTAACTACATATTGCCTTGACATATGTGGACTATATTGCAACATGGACGATACGTTAAGGTCATATCGACTGTGTGTATTACAGTCCTCGTTATAAACAGGTGTATTTATGCATTTAAATGAAACATACCATTGAATGTCAAAGGTGTCCAAAATGCATTCCACATGCTGTCAACAGTCGGACTCAATAGTGGCTGAGGTGCAGGAGAGGCATGGTTTTAAAAAAAAGTATCCAAAGCTGTCAATGGGGTCAGGCATTCCAGCTGAATATTTGACCCGGTGAAACCCAAACAAAACTAACTGAAAATATTAAAGGTCACATGCAACATAAAACACAACTTTGGCGATTCTGATACCTTTCGGTATGGACTTACAGAAGCAAATTATCAAAAATGCAAATTCAACTTATAAAGTTGAAAAATAACGCGATGAAAAAAAACCCCGCGAAATCGGAGTTCAAACGATTCACTAAATTCACCCCAGCTGGGGTGAAAAGTGGCTTCAACAGCTGTGCTGCGCTGTGCTCAAAGCGCATGCGCAGTGAACAGGCTCGCGCAGCTTGAAGCGGGATTCCCGAATTATAAGGTCTTGAGCAGGAGTAGTCTAATCTTGGTTGTGTACACAAACAACGAATAGTAAATAATCTACTCGTTACATAAAAGAGCCTTGTTAAGGATCTAGATCTTCTCAGCTATGTGTCAACCAGTGAGGCGTTCGACATTTCAAGACGAAAAACCTTCACTGGCGGTGAATACTCGGAGTAGGCTTTGATGTGAGCATATTTTCTAATTGTTTTGTTGATATTTCACAGGCGCGAGCTGTTTATATGTTATTACAGCAGGTTACTGATTTAACTGTTTATATACTTTCCTTTGACTATTTCACCGCATGTTCTTCTTACCGTGTCACTTTCTCAGTTCGATACTTAAAAGCAACGTCATTATTTAGCATTGTCAGAATTTCTAACTGTGATATCGCTATGCCTCTGTCACAGACAAAAACTTAATGTCTGTTTTATTGACACCTCTGTGTCTGCCTGTCTGCCTGTCTGCTGATGACAATATGCAATAAACAACTTCGATCACTGACCACATCTAATTTGAACTTAACACCTATCAGGTTATGCACCAGAAACAAAACGCATTGATTTATGGCTCGTGCACCCGAGTTCGGTCTCTGTCACATTATGTAATTACACAGACAGGCAGGTGTGATACTTGTACACATGACATGTTATGATGTCTGTTGATTGCAAAGTGTTATACACAAAAAATGAGCATGTATTTACAGAACCCAACATCTCTATACACACACAAAGAGCCCTGAGCGTATCGGCAAATGAACCAGCCAATGAAATGCTTCGTTACACTTGAGTGTACACCCACCCGCTTTGACTGGGTACGGTATCCCGGGTGCTTCGTTTCGAGGTAAGTAAACCCAAGTACAAAATATTGCGCTTTTGATTTGCGATTGTACGCTTATAATTTCGTTTATTTGTTTTTTCAGAATCAGCAATGTATATTATATGTCATAAATACAGACAAACGGTATAATAATCCTATAATCCTATAATATAAAAACTAGTTTCATCAACCTAATGGCATCTAAGGATACAAACGTTATTATTAAGCTACAATTTTACGTTCACTGTGCATTACGTCTGAGACGTCAATGTTTGTAACATGCAAATTTCAACCAGCTGGTTGTATCATCTGTATATGGGCGATATTATAGCGAAATAAGATCACTGCGACTGTGGAAAGTGTGTAAGTTAGCCATGATTGAAGATGAATTTCATTTTGTTATGATATGTCCAGCGTATGAAAGCGTAAGCTCTAAATAGCTACTGTTTGTCTGTACATCCTATAATATAAAAACTAGTTTCACCAACCTAATGGTATATAATGATACAAACATTATTATTAAGCTACAACTTTATGTTCACTGTGCACTACGTCTGAGATATCAAAGTTTTGTAACATGCAAATGCCAACCTGCTGTATCATCTGTATATGGGCCGGAGGCCACACATGCGGAATAAACGATTGAACATGTCATGAATAAGTAATAATTTTTTTTTATTATGTTTGTTTTTTGGTTGCATGTGACCTTTATAGATACACTACCACCTCTTCACAAAATGCACAAAACCCACTCAACAAACTAATACTAATAACTAATTGTTGTTAGTGATACTAATACTAACTATTAATATTAAAACTAGTCTTAATCTTAATACTAATAACTAATTGTTGTTAGTGATACTAATACTAACTATTACTATTAAAACTAGTCTTAATCTTAATACTAATAACTAATTGTTGTTAGTGATACTAATACTAACTATTACTATTAAAATTAGTCTGAATCTTAATACTAATAACTCATTGATAATAGTAATACTTATATAATTGCTAATAATAGTACTAATTTCATAGCTAATACTAATACTAATTCTAAACTTAAGACTAAAACTAACTATCCTATATACACTAACAGTTCCATGCTATTAGTGGGATAAGTCATGTAGCTATAACCTTCTAGCGCCTCACAGGCAGCTTAGGTTATCCGGGGTAATAATGAACTGTGACTTGTATGCGCTTAGAGCATGTCCCTCAGTGATGTGAATTCCTCGAGGTGCCATACAAATATTTTTATTATTATGTTTTACAGATTAAGATGAAAATGCAGCAGAGAGGGTTCGGGTGATCCTGGCACAGTCAGGCTGGTAAGGCTCGGCATCAGCTCAGGGCCCTTGCCCCCCAGAGCTACGCGCAGCCCAGACAGCGAATGGGACTGTCCGGGAACTTTCCGGAGAAAATGTTAACTCCCCAATACTGCAGCCTTCTGCATCATCCAGAGTGTCAGAAGGGCTGTGCTCCCGGTGGAGAGCCCGGGCACTCTCCTGATCTGCGCCAAGAGATCAGGAGGTACCAAACCAAGGGCACCGAGAACAATGGGTAGCCTGGCGACAGTGTACTTGGGATGCAAGCGAGACATTTCAAAGGCGAGGTCCGCATATTTATCATGCTTTTCCTGAATCTTGCCAATCACATTGGTGTCAAAAGGGACAGAAAATTCAATGATATAAATAATTTCATTGGCTTTATCAAGAAGGACAAGGTCAGGTTTGTTGGCTGGGAATATGGGCCTATTCCACAGAAGTTTGAAAGCATCATTTTCCATGACGCCCTGGACATGGTCAGGG